ACTCAGATACTGGGAGGAGGTGTTTGGGGTCAGTGCTACATAAAGGGACCCAGGAAGTCAGGAAGGTCACAAGATGGAGGCGTCTGGGGTTGACGTTGCATATAGGGAGGGGACTAAGCAAAGGGAACTCAGTCCTCTGCCGTCCCACTCCCACGTGGCACCGCCCCTTGCCTCAGGAGCACAAGCTCCTGCTACTTCCTTGCACCCAGCTTATCTCACATAGCACTGCCCACTGCCTCAGGGCTTCTCCGTACCCAGTCCATCCCAGTCCACCACGACTCCGCCTACCACAGTCCCTGCCTTGACTTCCAAAATACCCAGATTTTACCCTAATCTTACCACAGCGCCCACCTGGTAGTTGCCAACATAGACAGTCCCTCACAAAAAGTTATTTTGGGGGTAATTAAATTCAGGTATTCATTAAATGAATACCTGATCTAAAATAGTTTATTCATTCTAAAGCCAATAGTAATACATCTTTTCTTTTTGAGGGAGGAGGAAGGAGGAAAGAGACGTTAGAAATTTAATTTTTAACTGTAGGGATACATGCACTAGTACAAGTAATCTTCCTTTCTGCCATAGCACCTTCTCTTTACTGGGGTGATGGAGGAAGAATGATGGGTAAGTGAGCATTAAAGTCCATGGGCCTCCCAGAGGGGCTGTAACTACTTTATGTACTGAGAAAATAAAACTGATTCCACTTAATCCATTCTATTTTTGTAATTCTATTTGTAGTTGATTTTATTCTGTATTTTGTATAATTACATAAGACCCTTTCTTTGTCTCCAAACTAAGAAGTTCATAGGTTCAGAAGTTCAGTTTCCTCTCTGAGCTAAGTTGCCCTGTAAATCACCTTAATTCAAAGAAATATATTATCTCTACACATTTTACTGCCCAGGCACAATTAAGGGTGGCCTGTTATGACCTAACAAGCCTTGTTAAGATGTAAGTGGGCACCAAGAAGTCTGTTCCACTCTGCTCCACTAACAAGCGCTGCAGGGTATAGGTGGGCTCCATAAATCAATCAGGAATTGTTACTAGTCCCACAATTCTGATTTCCAGCCAATCATGTTGTCTCCCACATCTATGATGCTACCGATCATTGTTTTTTTTAAGCTTCGTAACCAATCATAACTTGTTGCCCACCTATGAAGTCCTGTTCTTTGGTCTGTGCTTCCCATAAAAACTGTAAAAAGTCTAGCTCACCTTAGCTTGTGGCTTTAGCTTTTCTGAGGAAGTTCGGATGCTGTTTATTGGTAAATTCTACTGATAAATAGATTGTGCTTTGTGCCGGTCGGGCCATGCACTCTCCTTCTAACAGGAGCAGGCTGCCAGGGTCATACTCGCCAGTCCTCAGAGCCCACCAGGATAAACATAGAGACGAGCTGATCAGGAGGTGCAAGCACTCGAACTTTATTCAGAGACCATCACAGCAAGGCCAAGCAGGAAAGCACAAGCAGGAGCAAGAGAGCGAGCTCCTATCCCTACCGCCCCTTATATACCTTCCTAGCCTCTCCTCCTCAGCCCTCCTACTAGTGATTGGTTGTAGGATCAGATACCGGAAGGGGATGTCTGGGGTTAGCGTTGCACCTAGGGAGAGGACTAGACAAAGGGAGCTCGTTCTCTGCCATCCCACTCCCACGTGGCACAGCCCCTTGCCTCAGGAGCACATGCTCCAGCTACTTCCCTGTATCATGTTCCTACCCAGTTCACCACAACTCCACATGGCACAGCCCCCTGCCTCGGGAGCATAAGCTCCGGTCACTTCCTAATATCTTGTCCCTGCCCCATCTTGCCACAACCCCCACGTGGCATGTAGCCAACATCAGACAATCCCTCACAGTGCTCAGACCTTTGTGCCTCAGTTTACTTTAATTTCAACTGCAACAGTACAATCACAGTATGTCCCACTTAGGTTGACCTTCAATCTGAGGCTGCTAATCCCAAGTCTCTTACACATGCAAAAATATAGGTTGCCAGCCTAGATTCTTCACATGCTCTAGAAAGCGCTACCAACTTCGGTGCCTGCTTGAGTTTAAAAAGAAAAATCATTAGTGTACAATATTTCATACATTTCTCAAAAATTGGCTCATGCCTTCATTTTCTATTCCTTCCCAAATTCTTGTGACCTGAACAAAAACACACTCAAATAATAGCTTAGGGCACATTTACTGAATTAAATGAGAATATAAAAGGTAAGATATCAAAACTCCTGGTTACTTTATAAACCCTCTATTTACCCCTCCCTGTCACAAGTGGATATTGCCTGTGACCCAAGTGAACTTTTAAGAGAGCACATTCTTGGATGTTATTTTCAGAGTAAAAGGAAGAAAGGGTGAAAATCTCCCATCATTTCCTGATCACCATTTCCAAATCATGCCACCATACATTGCACTGCCCTCCCTTCTTTTGTTGTTGTTCAGTCATTGCGGTTCTGTCCAACTCTTTGTGACTGAATTTGGGGTTTTCTTGGTAAAGATACTGGAGTGGTTTGCCTTTCCTTCTTCAGTTCATTTTATGTATGAGGAGCTGAGGCTAACAGGGTTACATTATTTGCCCAGGGTCGAGCAGCTATTGGATTTGAACTCGGGAAGACAAGTCTTCCTAATTCCAGGCCCAGCAATCTATCCCCTGTGCTACCTAGCTGATCTCTTCCCTGCTTATAGCTCTTTATGTGTTGTTTCTTCTCTTTTAGCGAAAGGACTGTATTGCTTGCTTGTATTTGTATCCCCAGCACTTAGAAAAGTGTATGGCTCATATCAAGCACTTAATAAATGCTTTCTCTGTCAGTCTGTCTATCTATCTATTGTTTCACTGACCTTAATTCAAATTCCTATAGAGATGGCCCTTATCTCTCATTTAGTCACCAAATGAACATCTTCTACTTCTGATGATCACCAGAGGGTCTTTCTAAATTTTTCTCTGTCACCATAACTTTCACCGCAGGTCCAGGGTCCCTCCAAACTCACATATCAACCACTGTGTCCATGAGGCGTCTCTCAGGCATGTAGTGCATATTTCACTGTTCTACTCATTGTTGATCTGTGTCTTCTAGTGTCTTCCTACTTCTGGCTTCTTTGGGAGAAGGTTGTGGAAGAAGGAACACAGCAGGAGAGAAGAACTTAAGATGGATTAGAAGAAAAATGAAAATTTTCAGGTGACTTT